TTTTTTGCAAAAATGAATAAGCCAGAGTATGATCCTATAACGTTGACTTGCATTCAAGCATGTGGTATTGTGTATTGTATGCATGCAATGCTCAAGTCATGTGAGGTATTATGGCCTAAACAGAATTCAGACAATTCAAACATCCTGCTCTTGCTCACCAATCATTCCTCCTCAAGCCTATCCAACAGTCACAAATAGTTACTCTTAAACTCTCTAATCATACAGAAGTGGTTTGATATCGCTTTCATAACTTAATCATGTTGCCAGAGAGATCTAGATGAACGCACCTCGTATCAAGTGCTTTGCCATAGTAATCGTGATAATTTCCAGAGTCGGACCGTGGATTTGGAACATTTCAAAAGACGTCGTCACCCGGTTTTAATATTATTAGCACCAAGATACAACTCGTCAAAGAGACTGTGACCATAATGGAAGCTACACCATCTTAGGCTTAGATGTAGGGTCCCAGTATCCTGCGAAATACAGTATTTTGGACTATTCTACTTCATGAAACTAAAGATGTCAAAAATGGTCTCGAACTTGATGGGAAAAAGGCAGCAGATGAAGCTGAATATGGGATATATAGGAGGCCCGAAGTCAAACCACCCGGAAAAAACTAGGATGTCTCTATAATGATGAATCTGATACTCCAGACAAGAGATCAAAATAAAAAATCGAATCCATCTTCGTTCCTTTTGACTGAAAACCACGATGATTCTCAAGGGATCAAATTTTTCACTTAGAAACGAAAGGAAGACATTAAAGGACACTTTTGAGGGGGTGCTATATGCCTCTGAAAAGCTACTGGAAGAATGAAAAAAAAGAGATGAAAAGGGAAGTAAGTCCGACAACCTCGATATATCAAGAGCCCAAGAATAGGAAATAAATAATTAAGATATATATAAAATTGAAAAGAAACGATAACATAATTTTACAATCCGATGTGTCACACTAGTGATGGACAGAAAGAAACGAATAGATAAAAAGGCAAAAATTTCCAGAGATACGACTTATTGACTGCTAATAAAGAATGAACAGTTAGAATCAAATGAACATTACAAGAAATGCTGAAGAAAATGAATAATAACGGGAAAATCGGCAAACAAACAATAAATTTACTCTTACGAAGGGAAGCAAGAGTTTTAGTAGCATACGGCTTACCCAAAGTACACAAAGAAGAACAACCATTGGGACCAATAATCAACATCAGACACAGAGCAACACATAAAATGACGAAATTGATCTGCCTCAAATTAAAAAACGTAAATAACAGATTATCGAACAGTTAAAAAATCATAAGAATTTTGCCAAGGTATCAAAGGCATCGGTTTGGAGATAAGCTAAGTACTAGCGAGCTTTGATGTAGTAAATCTGTACCAACACTTCAGAAGAAAAAGCGTTCACGGCACTAATAGAAATCTTGGAAAGAGAAGACGCCCTGGAGACGGAGCGAATCCCAAAAGTCTGTAAACCAATAAATTAACCTAACAATAAGAACGACCTATTTAGTGTTCAATGCCTGACCTATGAACAAATATTTAGTCTGCTTACACTCACCTCATTTGACTAATGTCTAGACGAACAATTTGGAGGATAATTTCAAAACGTCACCTCAGCAGCCAGCAGCAATTATACGATAATTGGATAACATTCTGGCCGCATGGAAAAGGAAAATATGGCTATTTTTTTATCTTCTTAGATGAGATGAATAAAAAAAGCAGATTTACACTTGCCCTTCTTGGGTGTGGGAGTCATTCGCCTCGAAGAGACCATCAAAAGAAGGCTGTTCCGAAAGAAATAACTTGCAGGAATAATCCGTAACTTTCAGTCTCACTATACTTACGGAATTAAGATTGTGATACTCAGGAGTATGGCCATAAGGAGCCTATTACAGATTCAGAGTTCTGGGAAGATGAAATGAAAAAAACTAATTTGGATATGTCTTGGAAACGGATATCCAGAAGAGGCAACACAACGCAAAATACGATTCGTGATGAACAGATGGCACAGCGGAGATTATGAAAGGAAAGCAAGAGGGACAGATATGTATACCCTCCTGCGGACTGGTTCGGAAGCAGTGGCCGCTACTAACGAAATGGAACATTCGTAAAATCCTAAAAGGAAAATCCTCTTCACCAACTTGCCCACAAAGGAAAGTCAATAAAATGGAGTGCACGAAGTATGCAGCACAAAAATCGAAGAGACTGGAAGGACAGTCATCACAAGAATCAGAGAACAGCAGTGATTTAGCAGAACAATGGATACGAAAAAAGATGAGATAACCGAACAGATTGCCGCGACCGGGCACATAATTGACTGGAATGTAACGAAAATACTGGCCTCATATGGGGAAAACACCATACAACGAAAGATCAGGGAGGCCGTGAACATACTCTTTTGAAAAACCTAATGAAGATTAGGAAAGGGAAGAGTGAGTGAAAATTTTGCATACTGAGCAGACTTGGAAATGAAGTGAGGACAGATAAAAATAGGCGACTGGGCCAAGGGCATCTATTCAACAATAGGAAGAGGCATCGACAAGAAAAGGACAAGGCACAGATGTAAGTCAAGAAGAGGCGATTGCTGTGAGAAGAGCTAAACCTTAAATCAAGAAGAAAAGCTACTGATGTAGGTCCTTCGGTGGGATTACAAATAAATATGCAAAAACATATGCTAAAGATCTAAGTCAACTTCAAATTCAGCAGGGTGTGAAAACCGAACTAGGAAACACAATATCAATTAGCCCACAGTATGTGTGTGTGTGTGCGTGCGTGCTTGTGTTCATTTTTCTTGTGCCATTATAAAGAGGTGACTATAACCTCAAGATAAGATAGGAATGTAAACTTGAGAATGTAGAATGGGTACATAAATCAGAGGCACATATACAGATAGACAGTGATTGTCATGTGTAGCAGGAAATAACTGACAAACGGGCTGGAGAAGACTTAAATGAAAGTCGGAAACCATGATCTGCGAACGGCATCTGAAACCGGTGCTAGAGGTGATTATGCTTCCCTAAATCAACTTGAAGCGGCATACCCTTAGGCGACATTGGAGTAAACGAAACACAGAATAGTGTGAAAAGGAAAATAGGCGATATGAAGTGGGGTTGAAAGAGACGGGTCACTATAAGGACAAAAAAACAGAGGCGAGGAGTGATGCTACAACGGTTGGACAGAAAATTATAACTTCGATAACTTTTAACTCTGTGTCAAGGATGGCGTCTACCATTGACGATGCCGGCGAAACATCTGGAAGCGTACCAAGTAAATGGTCCGATGCTGGAAATAATCATGAATAATATGGCATAGGATTCGGGACTAGGTACGTTTCCCAAGATATCCCTTTCTACCCTGACAAGTTGCGAAAACTAGGTCAAATCAATACTAAAGAGAAAAATGAGATTGCGATCAAGCAAAAGGCCATACCAAATTGGTCTGCATAAATACGATAAGAATTTTCATATTCCGTATCAGCCATGTGACTGACCAGCTAGGATTTTTGGATCCATAGACCTCTGCAGATAGTGTATGATTCAGATAATCTTTTCCAGATGGGTCGACATGTCTTCTCCACACAGAAATAACCACATAAACAAAAAGTGGCCACACCCTGGTCTGAAACTTCTGACGAAAGTTCAGCACGGATTTATCGAATATGCAAGATGGAGAGCCAAGTATTGGTCTGTACAATCAAGCATTCTCCACCCCTTTGGTGTTCAATGAGGCCATTTCACGAATACATTTCAAAACACTTTCTTCGAAACAAAAATCGGAGCCTGACTGAAGAGAAGTTTGTCCGCAGAAATAAAGTCATAAAGCAAAGATTTGACCATTAAAATAATTCAGGGGCTTTAGCCTTAAGTTCGTCTCCCAGAGGCAGAGTGTGTGCAATAATGCCTTGAGTAGCACATATAGGGTGGCAGGGGTCGAGTGAATTACTTGACCCAGAGAGGTAGCAGACGCATCCTACGGGGCAAGAGGGAGACTCTGATAAAACCTAGGGAAGGACTGCGTAACAATATATTTACAAAATGATTTAAGGCAGGAAAACAAGGGCTCAGACTATCTCTGAAATCTTTGTAGAAACGTGAAAATAAAAGATGAGAGCCACTTGAGTAGAGTAAATCTGGTGCCAGACTAGTTAAGAAAAGTAACAAATGATACCCAAATTTGTGTTATAAAGTGAGAAAAAATTTGAATGAAACAATTTCTAAAAAATTACACAACAGACTGAGAAAATGCATAATACCCCTTAATAAGGGACTTAGTAACACTAATTTAATATGTTAATATCATACCTATCGCAAATAATTTCGAGAGGTAATTAGTCTGGCTAGACTTGTATAAGAAGATGAATAGAGATTAGAAAACAAAGTATCATGTTAGCGTAGATGAGTAGCGTGAATGCAATAATGAATAGCTGAAGCTGCTCTGCATTAATAACATACAAATCAGAAATGAAATTCAGTCACTAAGGAATATAGATCAGTCGCAATTTTGATGGGTTGTAGCCAGTCTAGATTGCATAAGGTGATGAAGGACTGAGTTGAACTTTTCACAACAGGTCTCACGACCCCAGCGAATTTCATTTATCCTTACCTCCAAGGTTCTGCCATCCTGCCTCTATCAAGCCTGGGTCTCATAAGTACCTCTAACTGGAATATAATCTGAGTAATATATGGTATATTTTTGACATGTCACTGTGTCATACTGCCACGGAGGCCAATGGGTCACAAGGCGTAAATGGCTTTTAAGGCAAGTTAGGCCTCTTCCACATTATATCCTACAGTTGCCCATATAAAATGGGCAAAAAGATTATAAAGCAAAGTTTATGTCAGTGTGACTGGGCTGAGCCATCGACAAGAAGTAAGGGTTTGCCTTCAACTACAATCTTCCCGGGCCCTCAACATAAAGCGCCATTTAGTTTTTAAGAATAAACTACTTTTAAGCTCATGGAAAAAATGGGGAGTATACTGGCGACTTCTACTTTAAGCTTAATCATATAAAAAGTTGTAAATTAACCTGATTCTGGAGGTTTTGGAGATCCTGAAGATGATCTTTTGTCACGAAATGACTGCTATTTTTCAACTCAGGCGACGCCATACTTTCTGAAACTGGTAGCGATGAGGGAGCTTGATGAAGATGCAGAGTTGAAGGGGTAGACGAGGGCTGCAGGTGCAGAGAAGGCTCTATTTGGATGCTGACCGAAGATGCCAAAATGGGAGATGGAAGATGGTTTGGCTGTGGCTGATGTGACGAGGCACAACGTTTTTCAATCAACGAGGAGTCTAAAGAAGAAACACCTACAGAGGAGCCAGATGTAGACGAAGTAGTCTTAATCTCTGAAGTGACGTTTGTGAAGGTAGGATGAGAAGATGAGGTAATCGAAAGAGCTAAAGGTAAGTGTGCAATGTAAAATATAAAAGTGGTTAAAATTTATTAACGATAAGTTAGATCAATTAACTACTACAAAAATAAGCATTATACGAATACCGAGTAGGAATAAACATGAAACCTGATCAATAGACTCCAGTCCCTAAGTTTAGAAAAATAAAAGGCCCAAGGTTATCAATGAAACAACTTTAAAATGCCAAATTTAGTAGACTTAATGCATAAAGGTGATATTGTCTTCATAGTAACCATTTTTTAGCAAAAAAGAAAGAACGGATTATGCATGTAGGGAATTAATCAAAATCCGCAAAACTGAATTATGTCTATATCGGCCATAAGCCAGGATCAATTTTAGTTTTCATTATGTATCAAATATATATTTTTTAAGCGAATAATTGTATGCATGCATGCCCTTAATTATAAAGTGCAATGAATTTACAAACCTTGGGGTTTATGTTGGTCAACAGAACTTCGATCAGATGGCTCCACGGAGCCTTTAACTTTTGCCTTTTTAGAGCTAACGGAAATCCAAGGATCAAGTTCAAGGAGCAATTCGGATTTTTTTTTGGACTTCTTTGAGGATTTAGATTTTTTAAGGAGCCCCTGAGGTAGTTTCTCATGAATAGATTCAGAGACTTGAGCTCGAGAGGAATCTTGATCAATCAGCTCCAGAAGTTGAGTTTGAGATGGATCTTGATCAGATAATTGAAGAATTTGATTTGGGAAATCTGAGCTACTACCAACAGAGTTATTAGATGTACTAAAGTTCGCATGAAAGTCCGTGCACTCTGAGATAAGAGGGATAATTGGGTCTTTTCTTGTCTGGTGATAATTCGAATTTTCGAAGGAAGAATCGTTAGAAATTATTATGTCTGCATGAAGGTTCGTGAAGTCTTCGTTGGCAGGGATAGTTGTTTCCCTTTTCATTTTGCGATAATTCAATTTCTCCATGGGAAGCTTAGTTTGCCTAATGCTGAAACTTGTATCTATATCAATATTTTGGGCAGACAAATCTTCAACTTTGTTATGGTCATTATTATTTAGATTAGGAACTTCAGTAAATAAAGGAACTTGATCTGATAAGCGAACAACTGATCCATTTACAAAATTTTTCTTAGAATTTTGTTTCTTTTTTTGTTTTGTAGACTCTTTGGATTTAGAGGCAGCGATCTTTTCTTGTATCTTAGCCGTTCTAGAGGCATCAGACATAAAGATTTTGGGATTCCTCAGGCCAAGGTACAACCCGCAGACAAGACTACCAACTCCAAAAAGAATTGGCGGTACAAAAGTAAGATCAAACTTTGAATCATCATTATTAGGAGCCTGAGATGCAATCGTGAAAAGAAACGACATGATGACCTACAGATTGAAAGGAATGGTAAAATTTAGAATGTGGAAAAATTATAATTAATAAAAAAAACAACTAAACAGAACGAAGTGACCGCACATATCGTAACCACGTCTTACGACAAGTTAGTCCGATAATGATAAAACAATTCTAGGCAGAGTCAAATGGCACGTCGTGAGACAGTCAAAAATAAGAAAAGCTATTCAAAAATTTAACAAAATGCTTCGCGTGGTCAGGGAAAATATGGTTAAAAATAAGGTACATGTCAAATCACATTTTCAAGGATAAATTTTAAAAGCAAAAAATAAGGCATGTCTATCTGGAAAGATAATGTCTATAAACATTGGACGATAAAGGTATGAAATGCAACTTTAGAAAAAAGCATTGCATATGCATGAAGTAATTAGATCAAGCAAACCTGGAATACATATTTGCCAAAACATACTTAAAAGTATATAGATGATGGATTTTAGATATATTAAATAATAATGACTTATGGCAAAAAATGAGGGCTTAAAGAAGAGCTGAACAAGAACACTGGAACAGATAATAGGATGTTAAAAAATAAAAAATAGACAAAGAAATGTGAATAATAAGGGATCAAGAATAAACAAGAAATTGAAAATAATACAAAGAAGTAAGGAAAATAACGAGATCTGACCTAGAAGCCAGGCCAGGGTTTGAAATAGCCCCTATTGTTAAAAGTGATGCGCACAGATAGCTAAACGCAAGAATTTAATCTTTCAAAAATTAAAGCATTAAAGTATAATTTTGATTAACTATAAAAAGTGTACAATTTTACAAGTCCGCTATTACATTATTAATTTTTTATATGTCTGTAAAATCAATAATTTATATTGAATGAGAATTAAATAAATTCGCCTAATAGGATAAAAGAAGAAAATTAAATCGTTTTACCAGCATATATATATGTTTGTGATGTGTTTGAGTTTCATTTAGTCTTATCTCGCAAAAGAGTTTTCATCTATTTAGGAAAATCTAATTAGGTTTTATTCATCACATTATGTAACTAAGACTAGCTAGAAATCCTATTTACAATCTACGGATTTACTTGATGTCTACTTACAGTGCATAATCTTTATTGACAATATGCCTCTGATTGTTACTAAAAATTCCCTAACAAATATTTATTTTCGAAGTGAACTTTAAAATCCTATTCCCCACTCTAAATTTTTAAGTAAAATTTCTTTTGCATATGCGATACTATAAATTTACTGAAGAAAATCCTATTGTGCATCAAAATAATATATAGCCTTTTTAGCAATTGATCTTTTAGTTACCTATTATGATCCCTATCAAGATACACTACAAGACTTTAATAATGGGTTTTATTATAATTGGTTTCTCGAAACTCTAAAGTCACACATTTTATTTCATACTACAAACTGATCTGATTTACGGTGTGAGCATGGCCTTCATTTCACTAGTTATTAAGTGAGCATTTTTCTAAATAATACCGGCTACTCAATTTAAACTTACTTATAAAATTTAGTGACATTAAACTTTCTTGTTTTATTAAGATTTTTCTTAATGTGAATTATAGCTATTAGTAATAGTGAAAACTAAGAGTTATCCAAATCAATAGAAGGTCATCCACAAGTTTTATTAAATTTTTCGTTTTATATGTAGCACTTTTAGATTGCAAGTAAATCTAATATGAGTTTTGTTAATCTTGTTTAGTTTAGCATAGTGTTTAACATGTCAAGATTGTACGATGACATATCACAATAAAGATTCAAGTCCATTTGTGGCGGCCGATCAGAGCTAGACACAGTCATTAGTACAGTCTATG